ACAGGCCAGCATCCATTAAAGACAGATGCCTATTAGATCAAGGGTTTACCCTATTAATAACAAGGAAGGCAAGGTTGGTGTGCATTAATCAATCACCCTCCCTTGCAGTAGTTTCCAGCATAGTATAACCCCCCAGCCCATCCTTCTGCACCCCTCGGGTTCCCTGTGCTTCCCACCTTTTGCCTCTCTACAGCCACCGCTGCCAACGTCCCCGCACGGCACACGCCCTGCAGCAGATTTTGTCCGTTGCATTCAAAGTCTGCTAAAACCGAGGTCCGTTAAATCAGAATTGTTTCAAAAAACGTTATCAGCTAACTTTGAGGAGTTGGGCAGGAGAGAAAGACCTCAGAGTCCTTTCATCAAGAGCAAAATCAATTACCACCTTTTCCTAATATTTTGTATATAAGCCAAGAATGTTTGGTTCCAAAACACACCCCCAAAATTGGGTTTGGCTTATCCGCGGACTAGAGCTTAGATTTAAAAAAAAAAAAAAATCACGGGCTTTAAGTGATGGTATAAAAGTTTGCCGTTTCCAGCCTTTTGCTGCACCCATTTCCAGTAGGTAGGTAATCACCATGCCTGGAAATGCCCCAAAGTTAGTATATGATGCAGCTTTCAAGCCTCCTGTAATGCATTTCAATTCACGTTGATTCAATTGATTAGTTAAAATATTGATCCTTTTTACTATAAACCGCCCAGAGTCGCTCTGCCGTGAGACGGGCGGTGACAAATTTGAAATATAGATACATAAAACAAATAAATAGTTGTTAGTACAGTGGAGGAGTCAAACAATTCTGTTGTTGCCAGAGAATTTGAGGTGTACGAACAAGAAGTTTGTGAATGGAAGAAGAGGAAATCTTTCCCCTGGTTGATTGCGATTTTGCGGGTTGGCTTATCTGTGGATGGGTTTATACCGAGTGTCTGTGGTAGCTGATGATCTCAAAGCATCATCAGCCTTGGTAGCTCCTCTTTATCTGTCTCCTGCCTTCGCCTTGCCTTGTTTCAGAGAGTTGCAGTGCAGAAACGAAATACAAAATCTGGATGAGACATCGCTACAACAGTTGCACCAATTGCCTAGGGGAACTGATGGGCCACAAATCGTTCCCAGTCAAAGTGAGTTTCCCAAAGCGATCTTCGTCTGATGAGGGATCCTTGCAAACAGGTGGAGTAGCAAAAGCAGTAAGGAGGTTGTAAGGAGGCCACTCCATTTCCGTCTGGGCCTTTCCACTTCAGATTTTAGCAACGTGCTGGAAAAGCGTCAGGCTTCTTTATCTCAACATTCCCCCAATGTGGAAAGCAAGCATGTCAGGGAAAATAGGTCTGCTTTTTCTTTCTTTCTGTTTTCCCCTGGACATGCTAGTTGTCTACCCGCAGGGAGGTTGCGCTGCTGGTTTTCATGCAGAAGAGCAATTTGCAAATCTTCATTTGCAGTTGCAGAAGCCAGAGGAACAATATGAGCTGAAGAAGTTACGTTCTCAAAGAAAAAGCATTCTAATTTTGTAGCAGCAAAAGCCAGAATTCTGGGGCTGGTTGCATAACCCATCAGCGTGTACTGTGAAAATTCTGCCCTAGCAAAGGAAAAAGAAAGGGAAGGAAGGAAGGAAGGAAGGGAGGAGGGAG